AGCACTGAAAAGCCTAGTTAAAGGTCACTAACTGTTAGTTACGATTTAGCTATCGCTGAGGTGAGCCACACTCCTACAACGGCGCAGCTAGATCCCAAACCGAGACAGTAGTTATCCGCTCTCCCGTGACTATTGCCTCAACAAAAGAAAAAACTTTAAATTAAAAAATTAAATGCTGTTCACAACTCACAGAAAGTTTTTAAAAAAGTGCCAGATCTTCTAAACTTGGAAAAATTTACTTGAACTGACAAGTTTATTCAGAATAATTTGCTCCTGAAAACATAAATTATGAAGAATCTGTCAGCTCTGTTTATTGAGAAAAAAAAGCAAAGAAAAAAAATTAGAGAATAATAATTATGTGAAAATAAAGCTAGAAAAGCGCTGGATGCAGCTATGTGATGAGAAAAGTGCCAAAATAATGTCAACCCACTGAACATTATTATTATTATTATTACATTACAAAATAACAGCTTCTTTTTTGTTTCTCGTTACTATTAAATATTTAAATACTATGACATTAATAACATTATCAAACACAGGACATGTCCCCTACATAATATGGTTTGTTGACAAAAATTTCATAATGCAAAGTAATTGCAATACTTCCAGTTAAAGACTTTTTGAATATTTTAAGTATAAAAACTTTATCAAGTACAAGTTGTTATTATTTATCACTAACATGTATTAATAAAGTACAATTACAATACCAAGTTTTATATTCTCTTCTTTAAATCATTTATAACCAGATAAAAGTTCAAGAAAAAATTTCAACTATTGGAAAAGAAATGCTGCATTAGTAACTTCCATATTAGTAACTATAAATTCTTATGATAGAATATTATCAAATATACTTTTTTATCATATAACCTTTAATAGCGTAATAATTCAGCAAGTTTATCTAAGTGTAAAACATTACTGATTATGATATGATCCAAAATATACACTTTTATAATGTAACCTCGAAAATTTATCCAAAATTCTTCCCTATCACTATTTTTACCCGGACCGATTTTTACATATCCTATGTAATATAAATAATACCACGTAATTTCGTGTTAAAAAAATTTTTTAAAACCACGCTATATAGTAATATCACCAAATAACCAGGAAAGCCAGGAGAGTAAGCATCTGCTTTGTTAATTTCTATCAATTCCCTCCTCCTATCGATGCCTTCCTGCTAGGTACATGAGATTGGCTGTAGATTGATGTTAATCCTACGATTTGTTGAGGCTGTTCCACTTAATGTGGACCTTCTTCGGCTGATGCTTGGAGTAATCGTCATGCTCCTGCTAGGTTGAAGCTTAACACATGAGATTTCCAGAAATCTTCTACAATGCTGACCACTTTTTTCTAGTTGTTGATTATTGTTTTTGATAATAGTGTTGCTTATTATTGATTACGAAAGTATTATTTAAATTTACAATATTTATATTATTATTAAATAACTTTTAGGCGAAAGACATGGATCATTAATCCTCCCTTTACCAGACGGGATTCAGATTATAGCGAAGGAAGCTATGCAAATATGGTGATTGGAAATATCTTGAATCTAATATTTGCATACCAACAAGAAGTGCTCAAGAGAGAATGGTATTTTTTCCTATAGACATTCTAATTCAGTGACTTTATTTCGTAATCTGGATCAATAAAGTAACATTAAGTAATTTACAAGGCAGAGAAAGTAAGTGCTGCGAGTCTCCTGAGGAAGATAAATACGGGCGCACAGCGATATGGAAACGAGCCTGACTTCAGCGTTATATTACATTTTATAATGAGGCGAAGTTTGAACAGTGATGGCTGATGCAGATAAGCACCATGGTGACTGGTGTAAGTTAGTTCTCTTTGCTGAAGATGGTTATGATGCAATACAACAGTTGCTGAGTTACTTGAATCCTAATAATGAAGCTGTGATTCAAGCTCACAAGAAGCTCACCCGTATGCCCATTTTTATGTTGCAAGTTGCAAGTAAGTGATGACAATCTCTTGCTAATATTAATATGATGCTATACTGATTATTATCTCTTTGCTACAATATTAATATTGTAATAGATACAACCATAATATTTGCAGGACTTGATAGGTTCTGGGGGTAGTTCTCAAAGACTTCCCCTCCTAAACTTTGACATTCCTCTGGAACCGTATGGGAGAGGATTTCGTGAGTCACATCTTAATTATTAGGGTGAATAGAAATCCTAACTTTGGTATTGAATTATAAATCTTCGCATATATTGTTTTGCTGATTTTTTACATTGAACATTATATAGGGTTACGTTTACGATGTGGCAATGAAGTTGATTGATGTGTGAGATAATCTGGAGGAACCCCGAAAACATAGTTCAAATAAGGCGACTAGACGCTCTGAATATGAACAGATGAGTATAACAACTACTAGCCCTCGTATTCACTACTGAAAGTTCAGTCTTCCTTTAGTATTAGATTGGTATTAGTAAATATTAGCACAGTCATATTTATATTAATAAAGAGGCCAATTAAAATAAATTATTCGCTCTGAAGTGTGGTATTGCGTTCTCTGACAGCACGTTTTATGATGAAAGTAAAAGGCTCAATTAGCAATTGAAATATAATATTGTTGTTACAGTAGAGACCGTTCCGATGGCTTATTTTATTTGCAGAATTTGACATCTGCCATCAATATGTTGTATACTCGCTCGCCCTAGCCCGCCATATTCAAATATTCACATACATACATTACCTATATATTACAAATTACAACTATCAAACTGAAACGTGAAGAGAAATTATATATCTAACGCTAAGAACAGATTCCGTGTGACTCTCAGGGATTTCGGGAAACTTTTGTTCCTCCTAACTAAACTAACTCTATATAGTGTATGTATACGATCTGGTCATCAGACCGATCTGAGATCTGATATATTCTCATTGGTCAATCTTGCAAACCCCTCCTTATGACACCTGATATTAATTTAAAAAGGCACAATATTACGAATCCGTGCTTTTTCTTTGCTAAAAGTGGGACTTTGCAAATCTATTCTTGACCCTCAAGAATTTAGTATTATTCTGTCCTTCCATTAGTACAGCTTCGAATACTTATCAGCCTAAGGAAAAATTGGGGCGAACTGACCGAAAAGGAAATGAACGAAATTGAGGAGAGGTTAGTTTTTGTTTACATTTAGAGGGTTTGATAAAGCGGACCGTAGTCCAAAAATATTTAAAGTTAAGTAGACTATAAAAACTTAGCAGTCAAGTTAACCAAAAAACTTTTTTATATATAAAATAAATTAAGGTAATTTATTCATACTGAAAGTTGTTTTGTACAAACTAAAGTAATCGTTCAAACAAACAGTAGGTGTTACCTAGCAAGTGAGATAGTGCAGAGTTTCCAGAACTTGAAAATGTTCCTAGCTCTCAAATATCTCGCGGAGGCTCCCGTTTACAGAGCTCTGCGTCTGCTAATGTTTTATGTCATTGCAAGTCTGGCTGTGTTAATAACCGGTGTGCATGTAGAAGAGCGGCGGTTGCTTGTAGCTCTCGCTGCCATTTTTCAAAAATTGTACTAACCATGATGTATAAGTGCCAGTAAAATAAAATAAATAGACGTATGAATTTAAATAATATTATGTAACCTGGTAGGGCCTGCCCAGTTACAATTAGGTGTCATAAGGAGGGGTTGCAAGATTGACCAATGAGAATATATCAGATCTCAGATCGGTCTGATGACCAGATTGGTTTAGAACATATATAGAAACTATGCAGATTTCAGTTAGTGGAAGAAATACACAAAATCCAGTGTAATAATTACACAAACTTTTTATATCGTTTTGTAGCTTTGCTTTTTGCGAATCTGCATGTGAAGTTTGAATTGTTTAGCTTTCTTGAACGACGAATTATTAAACAAAAGGCAATTGCGATTAAAATTAAACAAATCTAAATAAATAAATTTGTTTTATTATTATAAACCAAATACAAACATGTGTTTTGCTCAACTTTTTCTTACCACCCTCTTTTTTGTATGTAAATAATTAAATAAAAAAAGCAAAGATTTTCGTGTTGTTTTGTTTTGTTTTGTTTGATTGATTGTAGTCTAGAACGCCTCTATATAGTGTATGAATAAATTGCTACAGTCAAGACTCGATATAGTCAAGTCTCGATATAGTAAATTTCGCGTTATAGTCAAGAATTTCTCTGAACAAAAA